TCTTAGGGGGCAAACCAAGGTTGATCCTGAAAGTGGACCCACAAGTTCTGTAATAACTAAATCAGTGTTTTTAGTAGCTTGTTTTTAATCCTTAAGCTGTGACTTCAACTCTGAAAGGCTGACTAACCATGGGAGGTTACCTTTCACTTAGAGTTTGTTCCAAAGTACATGCAGTGCTTTATGTAAATTATTTCTGCCAGATTTGTGTGATGTAGCAGGATGGAGTGGTAAGAAAGACGCTGGACTTTTGAGTCATAGTGGAGACTAGTTTTGCCACTTGGTAGCTGTGTGACTTTAGGCTAACCAGCTTTCCTGAGGGACCTCGTGCACTCGTACACATTACAGGTGGTCGTGAGAACCAAATGAGATCTGATGCATATCAGAATCTGAAAAATACTTTGCAAATGAAAGGTATTATTTAGAATGTAAGACCCTTCAACTTTGTCTTATCCCACTCTTATCAGATTATAGAATGTAACATATTTTACTCCCCACGTTCTTTGCTGCTTTTTCATCGTCTCCGTACTTACTACTCTCTCTGCCTGGAATGTGCTTTGTTTACAGGGCAAGCTCCCCAATGTCCCCTCCCCTCCTTTCTCTCTCGTCGTGATTTGTACTTTCCTCTCACAGCACCCATCACACTGCCCATAACTGCTTGCATGTCTCTCCCTCTAGACTGTAAACCCCTTGCTGGACACACATCTCATTAATCCCTACAATCATTTTCATGCTGGTGCAAAGTGGATGTTTAATAAACATTGAAGGAAGTTTAAAAAAAAGATCCAGAATCACGACTAGAATATCAAGACTTTGTATTTCTAATTCAGAATTCATATCCTTTGCAGAGTTGTATCCTTTACTTTCAGTTATATTAAAATTGAAGGGCTTCCAAAACCTGACATTTTTCTCTCTACCTCATTATGCAACTTTGCTATCAGATCCTTTATTCGGGTAACTTTGAGGAGTCAGAACATCTGAGTTCCAGTTCTCAGCTGGGCAGTTGACTAGCTTCCTGATTAAAAAAAAAAATTGAGGCTGGGAGCGGTGGCTCACGTCTGTAATCTTAGCACTCTTGGAGGCCAAAACAGGTGGATTGGTTGTTCAGGAGTTTGAGACCAGCCTGAGCAAGAGTGAGACCTCATCTCTACTAAAAATATAGAAAGAAAGTAGCTGAACAACTAAAAATATATATAGAAAAAATTAGCTGGGCATGGTGGCTCATGTGTAGTCCCAGCTACTCGGGAGGCTGAGGCAGAAGGATCGCTCGAGCCCTGGAGTTTGAGGTTGCTGTGAGCTAGGATGACGCCACGGCACTCACTCTAGCCCGGGCAACACAGTGAGACTCTGTCTCAAAAAAAAAAAAAAATCATCTTTGGCCTAATTTTGTAACTTATCAACAGTGGTATTGCAGTACTCTGGTGTGATTAGTTG